TAGCAGGAAGACTATTCCATACTCTAACTACACGCTGTTTAAAGAAGTGCTTCCTCAAATTTGTTTTAAAATGTTCTCCCGCTATGAAGCAGCAATATTTCATAAATACATTTTTTAAAATCCTGAGCAATAACACTCCTCAGATCCTATTCCAAATACAGACTGGCAGTACTGGGCTGCTTTAGGTAGGCTGGAATGAAGCAGAATGATCCGGTTACATTGTATTACATTAGATGAATGTATTTATGACTTACGGTCACAAAGTATAACATGCAGTGAAATGCAAAGCTGGCCTAGTGTTAGACTGTGCACGAAAAATAAAAAGACAAGAAATACAGAGATATAGCAATATTCAGACAGTATTGAGTGTAGAATGTGTATACATTACATACACAGAACCAGTAAATTGTTGTAACTGCAAATGAAATACATTATAGAATTTAAAAATAAGCAATATACTCCAAGAATTTATGCACAGATATTACTTAAGAATTTGTATTAGAGGTGTGAATTTAAAAGCCTGCTGGCCAGAGGATAGATGTGTTCCCAGTCCTCTCTGTTCTTACTCTGTGACTCTATGCTCGCGCTTGCCAGACCGCAGCAGGCTCCTCAGCAGGGCTCCTCCAGCACTGTGTGATGTGAGTATCCTGCAGGGGGGGGGGGGAGTAACCATGGTGTCGTGCTTCTGCCCGGTTTGTGATCTCGCGGGGAGCGGTTATCATGTCTGCCCACACTGCTCACTGACTGCATGCTTTCTGTTTGACACATGCAGTATAAAACGTTTTTAAGGTCATAGGGGAAAATTTGAATTTCTGCAGTAGCCTAAGGTGGTACAAATGTTAGCAGGCCTTGGTGGTCTGAGACTGAGAGTGTATTGAGCTGTCCCCTCCCCCAACTGGTACATTGTTAATAATAAGAGGGGTACAGGCCCTCAGCTCCCCAACCTTACCCTTGGTCTCGCAAACATTCGGTGAAGAGCAGTTGGCCTGATTCAGCTGGACCGTCTATTGCAGTGTGACATCCAGCCATGTCCTTATTATCGCAGATCAGGCCATCGGATAACTTAACATAACAATGAGCTCAGGAGACAACTTTGTAAGGCTTCTGAATTAAGGATGATATTTGGAAAAATATAACAGCCCTTTCAGCACCTGGGGTTTGCACTGTAAGGAAATCTAGAATCCATTTACAGAGGGAGATCCAAGTCCCACAGCTTGGAGGCCCACTCTGATGGGGATTATGGTGATGAAAGCTGAACTGAGGACCAGTGTTCAGGCCGTTCCAGAATGCATTTATCAATTCCAGTGCAAATTAGGAAATGAAACTGGAGCTGGGATTGGGGAAAAAAAACTATGGGGAACAGAACTGGAATTGAATTCAAATTTCAGGGATATTTAAATTCCAACTCCAGTTCCATTTCCTGATTTGGATTGGAATTGACAAATGCATTCCACCATGGCCCCAACCCTGCTGAGGACTACAGATACTAATGTAACATACTTTCTCATGATTCTGTGAAGGTGCCAAAGAACTGACATAGTTTAAGGGTGCTGGGAATAGAGGGAGTAGAGTAAATATTTGATACGTCTTCAGGGAGGTCAGAGCTACTCAGTGGTTATTATTCAGCAAAGTAGGGTTTTTGGCATTTGGTATCAGAACAATGTAAACAGAATGTACTGGACATCATTGAAATCAGAGTGAGACTCAGTCGTCTCCTTGTAGCTCCTCTTAGAGAACAGGAAGTAATCAGCCATGGTTCCTGACCTAAATCCAGCATTATGCACAGCGGTACAAACACTCATAGCATCTCGGTGGTTTTTGATTTTACTTTATTCCCAACAAGAATTCAAATGATAGCTTGGCTTTTTCTTTAGTCCCGGTTGTGATTGTAGTGTCTTTCCTATTCCTATTATAATTAGTAATAATTCATGTAAAATATTTAGATTTTAAGATTATAGATGCTGATGGATTGCCGAAACCTAATCTTATATTACCTTTTGTAATTGCAATCTCCTAGTTATATCATATTATCTATCCCTTTATGCAGTTTCTGGAGGTACTAGAACTGATATGCATGGCGCCTTGAGTCAAGGGAGAGTGTCATCGAGTATGTAAGACCTTGTAGTCAGAGCAAATGTGAGATGTGATATGAATGACTCAGAGTCAGTCCTGCAGGGCAAGAGATATATAGATATAGAATATAAATTTGTACTATGTCTAAAGGGTGAGAATTATGTTCCAAATGATCATCTTTGATATCTTTACATTGTGCTTACCAAAAAATCTTTAGGTAACGTATATGAAAAAAACTTTAATTTATTTGATATTGCAAATAATTTTTTAAATATGTAATACAGCCTGAAAAATGTTGCTAAACGTGGTAAACGGGTTTCATTGTTTCTGCTTCCTCATTAAGGGCATTTGGATACTGGGATTGCAGACACAGTGGTAAAATGCAGTGTGTATTAAACGTCTGTGAGGGAAAAAGGTCCATCGTGCTACATACACAATGCACTGAGGGCTGCGCGCTTGGGGCTTCCTGGAGGATTCTATCCCTGTGCATCCTCCGCAGAAAGTAGCAGGCAGGAGAGCAGGGGTGTGTCGCCATGGCAACGGACCGATTCTGCTTGCGGACTGTGCCACTGTAGGAAACTGAAGCAGGGGTTGCACGATGCATGCAAGATGGGGGGTGTTTGAAAGCCAGATAATTGTATCCATCTATCTATCAATCTATAAATCTATCAATCTATATATCTAATAAAACATCCATCCATCCATCCAGCTTCTGCATTGTTCATTCAGGGTCCCTGTGATCCATGAACATTTCCCAAGGGAACACACAAAATGGGTCATTCACAGATGCCAGCAGCATCTAGCAGCAGATCTGCAGGAGGATAGTGGAGTAAAAATCATATGGATTAGTTTTTCAGAGGTAAACAGAAATGGAGAGGAGGTAAACCCCACACACAGAGATAATAATAATAATAATAATAATAATAATAATAATCATCATGCAGCTTCTAGTGGTTTATTTATGTAATACTCAATCATATTCATAGTCTCAATCTTTATTATTGTAGTATTATTTACAGCCCTGCAACCAGACCAGGCCACAAGCATGATTTTAACTACCAGAGGACATTAAAATGTCCACTATATAACTAGAGATGAATTATAAAAACAAATGAATCAGTTTTCTTGAATATATATATAGTCGTTTTATGTGAGGATGTTATTGTGATCCTTAGAAAAGAAATGTATAAGCCAATATAAATGTATAAAATGTAAGGAGATTTGCTTTTTGTATTTTGTTTCTTTGCTAATTTAATATTATTTGAAATTTTATGTTTACATTCAGAAATACAGGTGCAAAACATTAGACCACTGTCTAAAAAATAAAGCGTCTGAATTCTATAATGTCGGTATAACGGGGCACGCGATGCTTCCAGGCAATGCGGCGGGGCTCTGCGCATGCGCAACAGTCTGTCGGGTGCTGTTCGCCGCGATGGTGCTGAAACTGAGAGAGCACACGCGATCACTTAAGCTCTCCAAAAGGGTTATAGGAAAGAAATGCCCCATGTTGTATTACCACTGTAATTATTAGCTTTTATTTACCTATTGTCACGCCTGCTGATTGTGTGTTTAATGTTAATTTTCCCTGGCAGCTGCTCTCTGTTGCTGCAGTGGTGGTGCATAATGAGAAGGTTTTATTGTTGCTGGGGGAAAGGGAGTGCCGACGACGTTTCTGGGTTCTGATTGGCTACCGGGCAGTACCAATGACATCATTCCCACATGAACACGTGGGATTTGTTTTTGTAGGTTAGAAGCGAGATTTATTTCTGGTTGAAGGGAGTTTTACCGTCGAATCCTCCCTAGTCACGTGATTCAGGGCAGCTGCCGTGCATGTGTTTATTCTGAAACAGAAATATGAAATAGAAACGCATCACGTACTTAATAATTGCTGCAATAACCGTCTAGTCTTGTAAAACATTTCAGCTTGCTCTTCACGAGCATGAAGAACATTGCGATAATAAGATTGTTTGCATGTGCTTCTTTCAACACTGATTCATGTTTCCTCATGACTTTGAATAAAAGACGTGTGTGTGTGTGTGTGTGTGAGAGAGAGAGAGAGAGAGAGAGAGAGTTAGCCTGGTTATGGCATTAGTCAAGATAAAACGACTGAAATGTAAATATAAAATCCAAATTTTGCCCCCTGGTGGTGAGGTGAACAAGAACCGGGTGCAAACGAACGCCATTCACTTCCTATGCTCCCTGTACGTTGGACACCTGGAATATCAGAATCAGAATTAAACAATCACTTCTGACAATACTTTAATTATTGTTAATATTATGATTATTATTATTACCTTCTATAACTCTGAGAGTATTCACACAGCATTTAGTGTTTTTTTTTTTTAAAATTGCGTGCAGTACCAGGCTTTGGTCACTAACACTGTAACGTCATGCCTGCACACAGCGCTGTGGGTTTCTTTCCCTGCCTCTGTGTGATGGTCTTTTCCCTTTGCATCGTACTTCCTGTTCTGGGCCCCAGGCTCAGTGTGACCCTAAGCTGGTTGCGTGGGTTTTGGACGATAAATGAGTCACCTGTTTTTATGAATATGACCTATAAATATGAATATGATTGCTTTATATGAACTACATTTTCCTCACTCATGCACATTCAAATAATGCTATAGACATTTGGAGCTAGTTGTACTGCGGAGATTATAGAGGAGGATAACAATGCTTTCCAGTTCTGACAAACCTGGGTACTTTTTTTTGGGGGGGGCGGGGGACAGTGCACAGGATTCTGGTACCAATATCTACTTATCTTGGATTTTCCTTTACAGCTCAAATGTCGATGATAACTAACACTGATGCAACCAAGTCCCTCTAGGTTCTGTTGGATTTAACGCTCCTCACAGGCAAGTCCAGGCCATAACCTGAGAACTATTCATTCTGACAGAACGCTTCAAATGTTCTTGTATCTTTTCATACAGAACCCATCCAACACAGAATGGCATTTCGCCCAGAACCAGAGACCTGGACCCAGTGGGTGAGTGGCTGTCATATTTCTGCTGTATCCATGCCTTCCAATGCATACAAACAGCATGAGAACACACACATGGAAATAATACAAGGGTATGCAGCAAGAAACACACACATATGTTTATATTCATATCTTTGTGGGGACTCTCCATTCATTTCTATGGGCTAATTGAGTTTCCCCTTGTGGTCCCCACAACATCAAAATAACAGGTTTTTATTACCTTGTGGGGACATTTGATCCCCTAGTGTAATATATACATAACCCACACACACACACACACACAGTGCTCCACTGTTCGAGGTTGTGGTAGCATGTCAGCTTAGTATACATTAAGGACTCCTGTGTTATGGGTTGTGTCGCCATGGTAGCACATTTAGCCCAACCCATTTACCATATCCAGTGCTCCAGTGCACTGGCATTCCAACTCAACACTTAACCTTACAGCAACACTTAGCCCAGCTGATGTGATGTATCCAATAATAATAATAATAACAATAAACTGCCCGGCGGATTAGGATCCCTTGGTTGGGCTCTTCCTGAATTCCTGTCCTCTGTGTTTCAGTAAGAACAGGTTCTACACTACACAGGAGAGGTCGGCTCCCTATGGGATAATGAGGTATTCTAGAGTAGATGAAGTGATGACCTGTGTACATGTTTTGTTCAGTGGGGCTGGCTAGGCTTGGCTAGGCTGCTCAGTCTGTGCCCGTAGGGGAGTCTCTGCGTCTGTCATTCTGCCTTCTGCTTTCTGAGTGATCTCTGTGTGCTGGGGTTGCTGTGATGGCAATAATGTGTCCACATACTGATTCTGCACAAAAATAACACTAGAAATGGGAGAGATGTACTCTCCGAAATCACACTGGAGTTCCTGTATTCGCGTGGGCTTTGTTTAGATATAGTCTTGCGTTTTTACCGGGATTAGACCATTTTTGGCTAAAATATGAATATTGGTGTAACTCCTCTGACTGGCTCTAGCCACAGTTATAGAACATTTGACATCTAGTGGACCAATGAAAAGATATTTTATGAAGTCATGGATTTAAAGTGTATTAATGTTTCTAGTTATTATTAACAGCTTAACATTGATAGCTAGACAGCTAGCTAACTAACATCATTGGTAATAGTGAATATAAAGCGAAATTAGTTTGTATTCGGTTTGACACTGACATATTTTCTTCACTAACAATAATCCACATAAATACATTTTAAACATTAAACCATTTACTGACGGATGGGTACAGATAGGTTTCTATTTGTGGTGCTTAGGGTGTCTCATTAGGTTTTGTGAGGTTTATTTTGTTTATTTTGTTTTTGAAAAACGTGTTTTTCATTGGACAGCGACGATGTGTTTCTTCATGGGGAATTTCGTTAGGTACACCTAGCTGGTAGCGGGTAGAACCCGCTTTCCGGAACCACATTGAGGGCAGACGAGTTCCGAGAATCTATTCTGCACCCAATTCTTGTAATGAGCTGTTATTTTTGCATTTGGGCCTGGTCATTCTCCACTGACCTCTCTCATTAGCAAGGTGCTTTTGCCTGCAATAATTGCCATTAGCTAGATGATTCTTGCTCATTTTCTGCATGAAAACCCATGTTTCTGATGAGCTGAAACCACCGCGTGTGGCACTAACAATCACATTTGCATTCAAAACTGCATAATCAGGCATCTCAGCTGTTTATAATGCTCCGCGTAGCAGTAAGTGGACTATCTAACCCTGTCTGCGAGCTGCATGTATTCTGTTGCAGCTGTTTGAAGGAGCTGTTTGTATCAGTAAGCAGGTGTGCCTGACATACTGGTTGCTGAGTTTATGTGATGTAGTCAAGATATATAGGAAATTCCGCACCAGTACGGCTCGTAATCAATCTGCTGGTATTGTAAAACATCTGACATTCTGCTTTGGGGCTGCTATTTCATGGGTGATGATTACCAGACCAGTAAACTATTTGATTTGTAGTTTTATGTATGGTTGTAGCGCTTGATAAGTCAGTAGGTGCTGTGATGGTAAGAATGTTTTTGTTCTCATGTGTGGATATTTGGCCTGAATCTGCCTTAATGAGCATATTGAGTAACAATGGTAGGTGAAGTCATGTATGCAGAAGCATAAATGCAGTGGTTTATTGTGTCTTACTGTAATGCTAAAATAGTCAGGGGCTATAGGATATAGTACGTATATTTATGCATGCATAAATATACCACTGCGTTAGTTACTGAGAGCGTCGTGTGTGAGATGGTATTATTTTTCTTGTTGGTGATAGAGCTCTGTTACCTTCTGTTGGTTTGAGGCGGCCGTCATGATGATGGATGCAGCTGCCGTTGGGTTGGTGGTTAGTGAGTGATGAAGGATTTGGGGTTTTCTGCCTGCACTCCAGCTCCCGCTCACAGGCTGAGCACTGGCCCCTCAGTACAGACCACGGTCACCGTCAATGACAAACACACACGCGTCACACAGGGGTTCCTGCACAGAATGGCCCCGCGCGTCTGCGACTGTCAGCACTGTTTGATCACAGACCTCCTCCCTCTGCCTGCTACGTTTGCTTCTACCTGTCATCTCTTCTGTGGCTCTAACTACAAAACTGAGAGTGCGTTGTGTGTGTGTGTGTGTGTGTGTGCATGCGTGTGCTCGTGTGTGGGTGTGCGTGTGTGTGGAAATGATATATTAATGGCCAGTCTCCCCCCAGAGCCGGGCCCAGCCCTGATGAATCGGCTGTCCCCATGTCCGGAACAGCAACAGGGCCGTGGCCTAACCCCCCCACAGAGGCTGAACAGCTCCAAGCCCTTATGGCAGCTGCAAACGGTAAGTGTCCACAGAGCATCTCCATCTCTCTGTCCCTTCATTTCCTTTTTGTCTCTCTCCCACAAGGTACCTTTCACTTCCTGTCTCTCTCTCTCTCTCTCTCTCTCTCTCTCTCTGCCCTCCATTCCCTGTGTCCCTCCCACTCCTTGCCTCCTCCCCCCACCTCCCAGTGACTCTGCCTCTCCCTAAAAATCGTATTTCTGCATCACAATGACGCACGCGCACCATATGAATAGATCATTCAGCCAGTCGCACACTGACATGCTCAAAGGAGAGTGCTAGCTCTCTTCAGTGTTACAGTGCGCTCTGTAGTCTGTTGCAAAACATTGTTAAAAGAGTACAGTCACTCAAATGTATAAATGTAAAGTTTTTGGACTGCTGTGACATATGTGCTGGTAAAGCTCGGAGTGCCCTTCATCACCCACTGCCGTTCTTTGGGGCCGTGTACTTGAGAACTGGCACACCCAGGTGTGATGCTACTGCGAGAAAAAGATCCGTACTGCAGTTTGATCTGCACTGCAATTTGGTCCGTACTGCATCTGTAAAATTTGCTTAACACTGCTGTTAGAATAGGAAAGTGGCTCCCAAGCTTTTTAAATCCCAGGACCCCCTGTGCGTTTGGACCCCCCTACATGTGTTCTGCAATGTTGAGAGAAATTGTCAGTATTTATTAATATATACATTTTAATTTGGTTACACTACCAAACAATGTAATTTCTTTTAAACATTACTTGAGCAAGGTTTCACTCCCCTATGTCCAACTCCAGTTCATAATATTGCTCTCAAAACAGCAGGTGAATGTTTATGAACAAAAAAAATTAAATCTGAAACTATTTGACATGGTTCTTCCTGAAATTCCATTTGTTAAAGTCCCCAGTGACGTTGGAGTCCTCATTCTCATATTCGGTGAAGCTTTTCAGTCCCTCTAGTGCTGTACTGGTATTTCCCTGTGGGGGGGCCAGGGTATTAAAAGAGGTCAGAAAAACAATGGAAATGTTCAGCAGCTAAAATAGGTGACAATTATTCATCAGGAATGCCAGGTCAGGGGATCATTATCATTATTGAGAGACAGTCGTTCATTGTTTATGAGTGAGCACAGGCCCCGTCCTCTACATCCCTCCTACTCTGTCACGTACTCTTCTGCTTTTCCATCTTCTGTTCTCTCACTGCGCCTCATTCTCTGTGTCTCTTCCTCTATGTTCTGAGGGGGGTGCAGTTGTAACTACACCAAAAGAGTGGCGAGGATCAGTCACCCAAGGAGATCTATCCTTAGCTCAGCCGAGAGCCAACAGGAGCATGTCTGTAGCTCCCTTCCCTGAACTGTTACCGCTGAAGGAGAATAGAGCACATTACGTGTGTGAGCATGTGCCTTGAGATGGACTGGAATCCCAGCCTTGGTTGTGACTGGCTTTGAGCCCATGTGGTCCAGCCTCATCCTCTGCTGTATGAGCTGTTACAAAAGATGAATGAGATTTAAAAAAAACAGGAGTTTATAGGTTATACAGTTACCCAGGTAAAATGCAGAATAGTCATAGTCAATAAACCTCCTAAAGCATTATAAAAATATAATAGGGTATATAATAGGGTATATAATAGGGTATATGCACATATGAGGAAAACCGAGATAATCAACATCAAAACAGGATTTGGGTGATTACAGGTCATGTTAGTGTGACAGCAGTGACTTTGCTCAGGGCAGCACGTTAGGGTGACAGCAGTGACTGTGTGCTCAGGGCAGCATATAATGACACAGTGATTCACTGGAAAGTGTTACACAGCAAAACTCTAAAAACATACAAAAGTTGAAAACAAAAACATATATTCAAAAATATATTTAATAAAAGGTATTTCACCCCGTGAGGTTATTTATTTCCATGGTGTAACTAACTCATATGGAGACACCCATCCATCCATCCATCCATAATTGCTTATTCAAGGTTCCTATCCCTGGGAATGAGACAGGGGTCACCCTGGAATATGTCAGTCCATCCCAGGACACACACACACACACACAGTTTTGTTCTGGGTCTTTCTTTTCCTCTTGATGCTCCTCACATCCTGCCTCTCTTCTCCCCCCCCCCCCCTCCCAGAGGCGAACGAGGCCAGCGGCGCCCACATCAGACCCGGCACCATGGGCCGCTGTGGGCCCCAGTTCGCCATGCAGCACATGCCAGACTACCGGCAGAACGTCTACATCCCAGGCAGCACGGCCACCCTCCTGGCCGCCTCCCCGCAGCAAGCCCTGCCCCCTCCCCAGGACCAGGGGCCACCTCCCATCCAGGCTGAGCCCCCCAAGCCGGTTCAGACTCCCGCCAGCAAGAAGAAGTCGGCCAAAAAGGACAAGAAATAAGAGCTACGGAGAAGCGGCGCTCAGTTTAATCTCCCCATTCGGTTCAGTCTAAATTTAACTTTGCTGACTGGAACTCATCTGGTCATGCTGGGTTCATATGCTCATTCTTAACTGTGGATCAATCTCTGTATTTCCAAGTTTGCTTGGTGTGTGTAACTTACTGTATGATTATGACGGGGCTTCGTAACCGGAGGGGGTGGTTGAACGCGAGGAGATTAATGGGAAAATGAAATGTGTTCGGATGGATCTGAAGGTTATGAAGCTCAGGGGTGTTAGGTGTTCCAGTGTTAGTGTGAAGATTTTTACTTACAGATTTGCATTACATTAAACAAGTAAAATGATTTAAGAAATGCTTACTGAAGACAAGAACGGCGCTGTTTTGAGTTTCTTAGAGAGCAAGCACGGGGTTTTTGAAATATACATTGAAACCCGCAGATTTTAAAATACGCATTTTTGTTACAAAGAAAGCATGTGTGACTTGCCAGAAGTTTTTTTTTCTCTTTTCTTGGAAGAAAAGTTCAAATAAATTCATAGCACTTCTGGCGAAGAGAAGAACGTGGCTTATATGTGTCTATTAACGCTAAATCTGACGCAGGTTTACTTTGTTGCTAATGTTAGTCTAATTGAAAGTTAGTAATGTGGGTTGAGTTGAGTTGAAAGACGTGGCTTTGGGACAGCCCTGTTCAAACGTTGTGGGATGGCTGCTCATGTCTGCAGCCGGCTGTTTGCAGCTCTGCGGCGCAGGGCACCGGTGACGTGACAGGCCGGCCTCTCCCCTTGCTCCCTCTCTGCATGCTGCATAGATCCGCTTGTTTTATACGTCCCTCCTGGCCCCCCACCCGCTGCTCGTCGCATTCCTCCGCACGCTACGCTAGTGCATGCTGCTCACATGCTTCGCATGGACAGGGTGTGTTTCTCGTTTCGTGGACGTATAAGGAAGAGAGGCTGGTGTGCTGTCTGCAGAAGCCCAACCTCTCCTCAGTCTGTGACAGTAAATGATGGAGCCTCTGAACTCCTGATCTGTGGACAGAATTGTCTCTTTCGGTGAGACTTTGGAGTATAGCCCAGGGTCAATAAGCCTTGGGAGACACAAGGGTTGAGGACAGACCAGGACAGATATGGCCTGGGATAAAGACAGACTATGTACACGTATCCCAGAGTGCCAGTAGTGCTTTCGCTTAGTGTAAAACGGTCAGTGACACACGTTGCCTATATCATAATGATCCTTCACTCTTACACCCTAACACGTACTACTGGAATGTTAGCTTATTTTTAAGTAAAAAAAAAAAAAAAATGGAAAAAAAAACTTCATATTAATTGTGGAAATATAGTGACAACCTGGAATTCACAGACTAACACCAGATGTAAATAAATGTCAACCTTGCAAAATGCAGAAAAATTAGTTAGAAACATTAAATGTGTTGTGCATATTTTTGTGTTTATTGACCTACGTAGTGAAAAATAATCAAAAAAAAGGCTAAAAGTTTCAGTTGTTTCTTTCTCATGTGATTTTGTTCTCCGGTTTTGTTTTGTGCATCACCTGTATAAATGGATATAAACGGCTGATTAGTCTCTTCAGTATTCTAATGAAACCACTTTTTAACGACTAACTCAGTGTTACATTTATATGCTAATAGTTACAATGCTGTTTATTTTCTCCTTTACCTGAACTTCAAAAATAAAGTTTGTTCTTCAAACTGCTCATTGTAGTGGTCCCTATTATTTATGAAGTTGTAAAGTTTTTAAGTATATTTCATTACAACATCCGCCATTCCTACCCTTATCTAAAGCCATGCGTGCCATGGTCTCCTGAGCATGCTTATGCTTTTGTGTCATTCTGCATGTGTTTTTATGTGATTTATAAGAATCCTTTGGCCACGACTCTACATGTCCAGCGATAAGCAACAGACTTTCCAGATCTTTCCAAAGACAGTACAGATTGTCCGGATCCAAGCTGAGATACGATCCTTGTTGGATTTAACTGAATAATAATAATATTAATAAAGCAACTGGGATCCAGCCGCTGCACTGCTTGGACCCTAAATAATAATCCTTTTATCCATTTCCTTGAATACGCCTTAGCATGTTTTTTGCACTGTGGTGGAAAACTGGAGAACCTGCAGGAGACCCAGGGAATAACACAAGAAGCACATGCAAACCTCACATGCATGGAGAGCCATGCACCAAACCATCATGCTAACTCAGGTGTATTATTGTTATTATTATTACTATTATTATTATTAGCTAAGATCAGCAGGTTTACATCATTTGAACCAAACCAGTTCAGAATTCAATGCAAATCTGTTCTGTAACAGATCAGCCTACTGCTGCTTCAACTGTACTGAGAATAAAAGCTTCCATACCCTCATAAGCCCCAAAACAGACGCAGGACAGAGAGTCTCTGCAGATCCGCCAGTGTGCACTGCACACACTGTCATTCACTGGCTGTAGCAGCTGATGAATGGTGGAATAATGTTCCCCCTTGCCTGTGTGTTTCTAGGTCCAACCCAGATTGCTATGTTCCAAACATAGAATGACTGCTTGACTCTGTAGCTGCTGCTACCATGGCAACCTCCTCGCAGTTCCTCAGCAGTCAGCGTCATGTGGTACTAACCCAATTGTGCTGGTGGATACAGGTCACACCGCGTCTCTGATCCAGAAATCACATGACTTCAGTTCACTGCGTGAGAGACACTTTTAGCTAACGATGCCCACCACCATTTTGAGGGGCTTTCTTAAGATTAAAAATAGCATATTTTTGTGGACACAAAAGTAGACTTAAGAGTTAAAGGTAGCTGAAGGAAGCTGCCTTAGGTGGCCTGCCAAGATGTAAATGTGAATGTGCTGACATTATATAAAACGATATTTTGTGCAGCACTCTGAAAAAATACCTGGCGAGGAAATATCTGTGTAAATGATGGAAACAGGGTCATTTGTGCCCTTGCTGGTTTCTGAGAAGTATGGATTGAGCTAGATCCTCCGACTAATAGCACTGAAATACAGATATTACCACTAACAGAGTTTACAGGGGCTGGACTGGCCATCTGGCATACTGGGCATTTTCCCGGTGGGCTGATGTGTTTGTCAGCTGGCAAAATTTATGACAAGCCCCCCCCCAACTCAGCAAAGTTTATCTTAGAAGACCCACAATGAAATTGGTCCAGGACTGATTTTTGATCCCAGTTCAGCCCTGCAGCTCAGTTACTGTCACGCTGACTGTCTTTGTTCCAACACAGTCAGTCAGGGTAGTTGTGTTCAGCAGTGCTCAGCCATAGTTATCTACACGTACATTGTAGCTTTTCCCTCAACTGTAAGTTGCCCCTCTTTACAAGTCAGTTGCAGAGAAAAGGCATATTAACTTTCTACAAAGTTGTTAACAACAGGAGCAATGACAGAGAAACTAACATGTCTGTTTCAGTGAAATAAAATTCTTATTATACAAATACACACACAAGCACATACCCTCACAAAATCCTTGCAGAGTAGAAAAGTGTTTTTTTTTTTTATCCAGATTCTGTTTTCCTTGCCATAAGCAAACTAAAGAGAAAATGAGAATCTGGAAAGAGTTAACTTTTTATGTTTCTAGGGGTCGGATTACATGAATGTGGGTTTGATGTAAATGTTGGCTTTCTCTGGGCAAGAGAAACCAAGTTAAACACATAGATCCTACATCTGTGGTTCAGCTCTGAAGTGGAGGCCAAGTTCAGCGATCAGCTACACAGACTTGCACGTCGTCGTGCACAGTGATCACAAGGGGCACACTCTGCGAACACACACTGCGCAACAAACTCACATGTGAGCGCACAAAACTCAGTGACATTCTGCAAAATATGTACACCCATGAACACATTCAATTTAAGGAATACTAGAGTGGCATGAGCGCATTTAACAAACTCGTCGCGGTGGCATGGACACAAACAGGTAACAAACTCCCACGGCTGGTAACATCTAACAAACTCATGCACGGTTTACCAAACGTGAACACGTGCATCTCATATAACACTCTCACTCCAGTGACAAGTGAACCCCTGCAGTTCATCTAAGAGGCCCCAGTAATGTGAGTAGCCCATAATTCTCTGAGACTGGGGGGTTTAACCAAGGTAACACAGCGGGAAATTCCATTCACAGGCTTTCATCCCCCATATCCTTCTGCTTCTACCCTCTAATTGCTTCCTCATGGAAGGTCTCGTCTTCCGCTTTCCGAACTTCCCCTAATGTATTATTCCTCAAAGGCTTTCTGCAGCCGAGACAGCATCTGATTTGATGTCGTGAGAGGGTCAGCAGTATGGGATCACGCAGGGGCTACAGAAACGTCTCCCGAGATATCATGGGAAGTGCTAGCGAGTGACAAGTCATTTTACTGGTGCACGTTTCGCCCGCAGCATCCCGCGTGCTGGACCTTAATGGAAAACATCTCGCAGTATCGGATGTCCAAGTTCTGTAAATAAAAGAGTAAGATGATCGATATTACAGCCCTTCTGTATTGCTTTATTTTTTAAAAAGTCACTCTCTGATACATGCCTTTTGTTTAGAGCTGAAAGACCATGTCTGATACTTCAAACAACGACAGGAAAGCAGTGAGACGGCTAAGTGAGGGATGCTGCAGGCTACCGCACACGCAAACCCACACAGAGAGTGTGTGCGGTAAACCGGGACTCACACAGACCGCTGGAACCCTCAACGGGACATGTGCAGTTACAGTTTAACGACTCTCTGGAAGGGGGCCGGCCGTTACATTTTTACTTTTCAGCACTCCAGCATAAACAAAGAGGGAGGTTTTTTTAACAAGGCAATTTGGCGGTTCCTGCAGACAACGGCCCCTGCGCCTGTGGCACAGACACACACTGGGGGGGGGGAACCTTCAGAAAAACCCTCCATCTGCTATCCACATTAACAGGAAGTCAATGAGCCCACATCAGGATCAGAGCCACTGTGCAATACAGTGTGTCCCTGAGAGACACACACACACACACACACACACGCACACACACACACACACACACACACACATACATACATGGTGTGTTGGTTTGGAAGCCAGAAATACCAGCAAAGAAAAGCCGCAGTATGAGTATTGGGATCAGACTTAGATGCCTTTAATGCCTTTAATGCATGAAGCACCTGATGGACAACAGTGTTACCCATCCTACTGTCAGTTATGGGTGCTAACATGCTAATCAGCCTTAGCCCTGGTAATATAACCCCAAATCAGCCACATTTAGGGGACTGATTGCACTGATTAGCAATAACTACATAAACAGAGGTAGAGAGACACAGATATACATAAAGACACACAGACAGACACAGATGCACAGGAACACAAAGACACACATACACAAACACAGGCATTCAAAACCTGCGCCATACACTGTTGTTTCACAGACTGTACTTTAGATTAGTTCACAGTGCAGTCACATAGTGTCTCATAATGTCTGGACAGAACAGATAAGATTAACGACACACAAATCATTCATACAGAGGAAATTGTCTCCGCTGTGGACATGAGAAGGACAGACTGCCTGTGTAAGTTAAAGAGCAAGAGTAAGACGTGCTACAGTTTGAATATTGGCACCAGGCATAAAGAATATTTTCAGTGGCGATATACAAAGCTTACATGTACTGAGCCTATGACTACTGTCAAAAATAAGGTAATTGCACAGAAAAGCTTTATTTAAAATGCACACAAACACAGAACTGTCAACAAAAGCACAGGGACAAATTGTGCTGTCACTAAAAACAGATACAGATGTGATTGTGTGCATTCGCATGCCTATGGAGTTTGGGGTTGGGTCTGAATTATGTGATCAGACGGTCTCCACTGCAGTGACAAACACAGAGAGGCACAATCCAGGAAGCATGCTGGACTCTCCCAGATGGCTTCAATTATATTCTCTCTGCAGGGGAAGGTTTAACTCCGCAGTCTTTAGCATGGTCCAAGAGAAGGATTAACGTGAGATTTGTCTCCCCCTGTCTGCCACTGACATCATTGCATTTCAGTCTTCCCATTAACCAGGCAGGCTGCAGAATTGGGCACTAATATTACACATGGACTTCTGGCACCACTCGATGGCCATTGTATAAAACAGCATGATGCTAAGATGCTAAAGAGGGTTCTCCCATAATAAAGCTAATACATTAAGCATCCTTATACGCGTTTTAAAAACTATATACATCTATATTAAATGTTATGTGATATTTCACTCATGCGAATGAAGAGAAAAGGATTTTTCTGGCAACATGGAGCCAGTAACCTCTCAGTGTTAAAAATCTGCAATATCTAACTGTCAAAAGTCTCATTTAACCCTAGACAAACAACAATGTTCTCCGTTATAGATGAATAGGACGTAACCACAATATATAATGCAAGATCAGCATAGGTGACCTGCAAATCTAGTGTGCATGCATCTCTATGTTTCTGTGCCTACATGTACAATTACATACCGCAGCAGTGGACAGCCGTAATTGGTCTATAAAGCTTCAAGAGTTAAGTTTAAAAGCAGCTTTATGCTACCCCGAGTGTGACGTCTGCCTGCATAAGGATCAGCAGCAGAGGCCTAAGCCCGCGAATATATTTGTTAGCATTGTTAGCATTGCTACCAGTGGTCGTACTTTCCAGAAACAGTGACATCTACTGGCTTGAAACAAAATGTCCAGAGATCCAAATCCATAAGGCCTCAGCTGACAGAATAGCACTAGACTAT